GGGAGGGAGGGAGGGAGAGAGAGAGAGAGAGAGAGAGAGAGAAAGAGCTCTCCAATAATGATCAATTAATGTCAAGTCTTGATTTGTCCATATCCCTTGCCACTCTGTTCCTCCATCTTGTCCTGAGGAAGTCTCAGAGGCCATATCATGTCCCCCCATGGGATTTTAGTATTTATCTATAAAAGTTGAAGCCACCTAAAAAAACAACCACAATGCCATTATTATATAAACATATACCATAACACCATCTTTATATATTATCTTAAGATAGGTTTTAAATCTCTGATATCACTAGATGCCAAAACAGGACCCACTCATCTGACTGCTACAACATATGTTCCATCTGGCTTGGTTTCCATGATCCAGAAGCAGCTACTGGAGCTGCACCCATAGGGAGGGATCATAGCTGCTTTTCCTGCGTCTATCACTAACCAGATGTGGCCATGGCTCCATATCTACTTGGCAGGTCCAGAACTGCTTTTGTATACAACTTGACTCTCCAATGCTGTTTCTAGGTGTCTTTTGAGAGACTGCTCTCTGCCCTAGGGTAAAATTCTCTTTTGTGTCTCTGGCCACCAGTGCTACTAGATGTCACATCTTTCCCTGACAGTTTTCACTGTATGCAGTTGTAAATACGTCGGTGCCTTTAGGTCACAGTGTTTTACCATAGCAATATCACAGATAAGACCAAGTTCCCAAGCATTTCAGTCCTATCCAGGGTTCCTGGACAGAGCAGTCGTTTTACCTTATCCTACTGCTGGAAGCCTTCTGGATACCTCTAAACCCACCAGGGCTTCCTAGTGATGCCTGTCTGGTAGACTCTAAGATCCCTCACCCTCTCCTTCCCCTCATTCTTCCATGAAGTTTCCATGAAGGCCTAGCAATGCTAAGCTGAGAGCTTTGAAGAACTGTGCACATCTAGAGCTCTTACCTAGGCAAGTCTATTGGCCTCCCTTAAGGTCCATCCAACAATTCCTTCTTCCTCTGGGCCCAAGACCCGACTTTCTGACATGTCTGTAAATTGATATTTGGCTTATTTGTCCAGTGTGTTCTTTGTTTAGATGGGAGAGTCATTCAGCTTTTGTATATTCATGCCTATTTTGCAATGGGACCTAGAGCTGAGTCTTCAGTTTCCGTGCTTTCTGCCACTGTGGGTAAAACTGCTCCACCATAGCACTGAGGTGCAGGTGCCTAGTGTGCCCAGAGGCATCAGGAGAGCCGTGAAACCTGTGAGTGAGCACAAGAGCAACAAGGAGTAGGAGGAACTAACCACAAGACAGGACTCGGGAGGAGTTTTACTCTTTTCTCTGCAATTGGCTGCCTTGCACATTTATCCAGGTGCTATGGGATTCTCTCAAGACAGCTAGGGGCAAGAGATCAATCCAAGAGGAGAACATAGCTAAGTCAAATGTTGCAGGGATTACAGAGGTAGTAATAGACCTTGAATTTAGTCCCAAATGTCTTCGAGCCCTGGGTCAAGCATTTGTTGGAAGGCAGGGTAAAGCCTGACAGAGTTAAGAGAGAACTTTGCATAGATGCATGGAATCATGTGGTTGGAGAGATGGCTCAGCAGTTAAGAGCACTAGCTGCTTTTCCAGAGGATGTGGGTTTGATTTCCACATGGCAGCTAAAAACAATTGTCTGTAACTCAGTTTTAGGGGATGCAATACTCTATTTTGGCCTCCAAGGAAGCTGCACACATGTGGTACACAGACATGCATGCAGGCAAAACATCCGTACAAATAAAATAAAAATAATCTTTTGAAACATTTTAAAAAAGAAATATAGGGTCAGTTCATTCTGTTCTGTGTAAAGCCAGCAGCCTCACTGGGTGAGATGTGAAGAAGATTATTACAGAGAACAGAAGATGTACCAAGTACCCCAGAGAGGCTAGCTGGAGACAGGAGTTAGGAAGAAGGCATTCCCTCCCCTATCATCAAACTGAGTACCATAATGTCAGGTTCCTTCATTTTTCATGGCCGAATGTGTCTGTGAACTTAGTATATTACTAAATAAGACAGTCACATGATTTCAGGTCTCTTCTAGTCTCCAGAAACCCTCTGGTTTCTGTTCTAGGTAAAGCCACTGGGAAGGTTTTGAGAAGGGAATGTTTCCCAACTAATGCTTTATAAAAGCCACTATTTTGTGCTGAAAGTGGTCAGGGAGCAAGGAAAGATACAAGGATGCTAGTTGAAAGCTATCCACTCACCTATGGATACAGGGTGAGGATTGGGGAAGGAACACTTAGGTGGATTCTAATGTGTCAGCTGATGGCTACAAGAAGACTTCAGCGCTGGAACATGGTGGCCTAAAGTGGACAACAACTTTCAAAAAAGACCAGAGGTTGTGTAAAGCTAGAGTTCTCTGAAGGTGTCCCTGATGGCTAGACACAGAAGCAAGGTCTGGATCCTGGACCTAGAATGACATCTGAATATGGTCTTACCTAAGGCATGAAAAGCCCACTTGAAGACAAGTGGTTTAGGGATCTAGCTGTCTGTCAAGTTAGATGACTTCCTGGGATCTGTGCCCTAAGTCCAGGCCTGCTCACGGTCTGCTCACCAGTACCTCTTTACTACCTCTAGTACAAACACCAGATCCTCTGGAACGATCTCTCCACCTTCTCCCTCATCAGTAGCCTTTCCATGATACCAAAGGCTGTCAGGTTTCTGTAGAGTATAATTGCCTTCCAGGGTCCCCATTCTGTTTCCCAGGGAGCCTTCCCTCCACGGGACCATCCACAGGACCCCAGGAAGACTTTAAAGTCGCCCCTTTCAACCTCATTGCACACATACCATTGTTGGATTCTTTGCAGGCCCCTTCCCCAAACACTGCTAGTGGGCCTCAAGCTCCTTTCTTGTCCCACCCCCTGTCTAGCATACTGCGGCCACAACCACTTAGTTTCCTAAGAACAGACTTCCAGTTGTGGTAGTGCACTCCTTTAGTCCCAACACTTGGGAGGCAGATCTATGTTAGTCCGAGGCCAGCCTGGTCTACAAAGTGAGTTCCAGGACAGCCTGGGCAACACTGAGAAACTCTTTCTTGAAAATAATAAATAAATAAATAAATAAATAAATAAATAAATTAGAACAAACTTCCTTTTCTCTGTTTATGCCCTCTGCCAACTGGTCACAGCGCACAATGGACAAATGGACAAACTGTGGGTTTCCACAGTCTGAAAGTTCAGCAGAGAGTCGCTCCCTCTCTTCTCTTCCTCTCTCTCTCTCTGTCTCTCTCTGTCTCTCTGTCTCTCTCTCTCTCTCTCTCTCTCTCTCTCTCTCTCTCTCTCTCTCTCTCCATCTCTCCACAGTGATTCCAAGAAAGGACAAGGGTGTAAGAAGAAGGCTTATGGGGGAGGAAACCCGTGGTCCAGGTGCTCCAGTTTCATTCCCAACCCATGCAGTTGCCTGTCAGCAGTGTCCTGATCTCCAGCCAGGCAGTTTATCCAGGTTGTGCTTCTGACAACGCCTCCTGACCGACCTCTCACCTTGTGACCACGCCCCGAGCTCCACCCTGTCTGTCTCGCACCGCCAGCTTCCTGAGTCAATTGCTGCCAGCACGCGCCTGCGCCCTCTGGCCCCTCCTGCACCCCACCCCTATAGGCTCCGCCTTCCAGAGGCCCCGCCTCTCTCTGCGAGGTGGGAGCTGAGCCACACACTGCGCATGCTCCAGCCGCGGCGCCCCCGACTCCGCACTCGGCTGGGTTCGGGCATTTCCGCCTCTTTGTTTTAAACTCTGCACGGCTTTTTTCTCCTCCTCTTGGGGGGGACCCAGAGGGAGCGGCGCCCCCTCCCCCTCCCGGCGAGCCCCCGCGTGCGCCCGCTCGCCCGCCGCCCGAGACGCAGGTCAGTGAGCCCGCCCCGCCCGGCCTGGCCCGCGCGCCCGCTCCTCAGGCCGCGGCCTCGGCCCATGGTCTGCAGAAGGCTGCGAGCCCAGCGCCCCCCCGGCAGGCCCGGGAGGCGGGACCCTAAAAGCCTGCGAGAAGGCCAGGACTTGGGAGGTCTGGACCCTGGGAGGGCAGAACCCTGGGCCAAGCTGGATCTCGAAACAATCTGGACCCCGGGAGGACAGGAACCTGGACCAGACAGAGCCATGGGAAGAGCCTACACCAGGCTGGACCCTGGACCAGGCTGGACCAGGGGTGGGCAGACTCCTAGACTAGGGAGAACACCGAGCCGAGGTGGATTCCGAGCAGTTTGGATCCCGAGAGAACAGGACCTAGGGAAGACAAGGAGCTCAGTCCGACAGGATCTGGCACCAGGCAGGATTCCAGAGAACAGGACCCCGGAAGAACAGGAGTCTGGGCCAGGCTGGATCCAGGGAGATCAGGACCGCAGACCAGGCAGGACCCAGACCAGGCCAGAATTACTTAGGGCCAGTCACTGAACAGTCCCTAGAACTGGGCAGATCTCCCATAGTTCTGGGACCCTAGGACAGGTGGAGTCCCGACTCTTCGAATGGACACTTGTCAGTATTAGAGACTTGACAAGATTCTAGGAAAGGTCATTGAGGAAGAATGGCTCCCAGAACCCGGCAGGACCTAGAAAATGGCAGAATTACTGACTGAGATGGGCCACCTAAAGATAGATTACAGAGGAGGGTTAAGACTCTGTGACCACCTCACAGAGGACTAGGGCTCTGGGACAAGGCCATAGGAAGGTCAGGACTCAGGGACAAATCAGCTATAGAGAGCTGGAAAATCAAGGTTGGCTCAAAAGAATCTGGACCACTATGGCAGTCCTTTTAGCAGTTTGGGGCCCTGAGGGTGAACTGTGAGGAGAGTTCAGAATAAAGACAGGCTTCAGGACAAACAGGACCAACGGTGGGTCACTTTAAAATGAAAGCCTTGGAGCTGAACCATGAGGATGGTCCTCAGGGATTACATAGGTAATAGTTGGAACTTTAAGGAAGGGATGGCCTGGGACTCTAGAAATCCACCCCCAAACTTTGCTGAAAACATTACTAGGCATTGGATAGTTTAGATCTGCCCAGCCCACACTGGACCTTTGCTATGAAGTGCTTACATGTGGGTTCCTGAGTTATCTGAGCCCAAGGGTTCCTACACTTGCACTTTCTACAAGTCTTCTAGCTCCCTGATGTTACAGAGTGAGTGAGGATCTTAGGATGGTTGCAAGGCAAAGTTAGAGCTCCTCTGGGCTCCAAGGACTCAGGGGTATCAAGGGCATGACCTGTACTTGCTGCTTCATGCCCCAGGCTCCAAGCTGACTCTTGCCTGCTCTCCCCAGCTCCTACAGGACTGTTTCTTTTCCCTAGTCTTGGCCCCAGGTCAGTGGCTGTACCTTCACATTCCCTCCTCTTTCCCCAGCAGGTCATGAGGGTGTGATGTTGAGAGGCTAGAGGGTAGGTCCAGTGGGGAGGAGGCACTCCAAGGCTACTGGACAAGTAGCAAGGTGAGGTCAGTGAGCAGAGGACTGAGGGGCTGTTGAATAGATGAACACCTAGTACCCACACTCCTGTTTCACCCCTAGAAAGGAAAGAGTTTTTGTTTCTCTGAAATCTTCCAAGTCAGTCTGTCAGGGAGAACACAGTGTTTCCCTGAAAAGTGGGATGTGTTTCTACTGTTGTGGGAGACAGTAGGGCAGGTACTAAGATGTTCACTGAAAACCTGGTATGTTTCAAGATGAGAAAGCAAGGGGATTTTAGAGTGGCTTAGCTCCCACACAGACCTGGGGTGGCCAACAATGGGTGTGTTGTTGTGTAAGCTCTGCTCTGTCAGGCTGTTCTTAAAAGTGCTAGAGACTGGGCGAGTCTAAACTCTGGGCTGTTTGGATTCCTAAGAGATATTTGAGCTGGCCAGTTCCATGTTTCGTTTTGAGCCACTTCATGGTTTGTTTTCTCAGGGAAAAACAAGTCTAGGTTTCTTAGCATGGGTGTCAACTGAGTTGTGTTCAGAGTGGAAAGTTGTATTTGCCAAATGTCCTTACACTCGGGAAACTTGTACTCAGAGCTTACCTCTGATTTTTTTTTTCTTTTGCTGTGCCCTTATTGTATTTTGCTGTGTGAAGTTTTAGAAAAGAACTGAGCATTTGTTTAGGTTTGATGGTGATCTTCATTTTCCTATGCTTTGACTTTTAAACATAGAATAGTGTTGAAGGGGTATATTATTTATATCTTGTTGTACAGGAAACTGCCTTGGAATATAGTGCCCTAAGTCAGGTTCTGGTTCTGGCAGAAGGCGGCGAGCCCAGGCCTGACCGTTCAGGCTCTCTAGCCAGTTTCCCTAGTCAGGGCGCTAGTGAGGCCAGGAGAAGGTGCTGCAGTATTGCTGTCAGCCAGGCATTTATCAAGTTTTAAGTATCATATGGCCCATACTAGAAAATTTCATAAATTAAGAGTTATGTGTAGATCCAAACATGATGGCTCATACCTGTAATCCCAGCACCTGGGAGCTGAGACAGGAGGATTGCAGTGAGTTTGAGTTTGAGGCAAGCCTGCACTACAATAGTGAATTCCAGGCCGGTTTGGGCTACAGAGTTAGATTCTATCTCGGAAAATTGTTGTGTATAGGGTGATGTATTGGAATGAGGCCTCTAAATAAGGTATATCAGGTTCCTTTGATGTTACTGTAAAAGTTCACATGACTGTGATGCATGCATGTATCCTATTTAAGTGGCAACTGTTATAAACAGAAAATGTTCCTGGTAGTTAACTTACTATTTGGAATGCTCTAGCAAACAGACACCTGTGGATAAATTAGGGTATAGGAGCATAGCGTCTAACCTCTGGGTGAGGGTTTTCCAGTATTCTGAGAGCCGTGGCCTGTTATTCTGAAAGAAATTATAAGCCAACCCTATAGATTTTTTTTAACCATCTTAAATAATATGGAAAAGGTGTCTTTCCTGGTACGTTGGGCCTCATGCACTAGGTTATAAGTGACTTTTTCAAAATACAAGATTTGAGATACTGAACATCTATTCCTTGTGGGAATACTATGGTCAGAGATCTCCTGCAGACAGGAGTCTTTTCTCCCCGGCCCAGTCTGGGATAGGGGTGGAAGATGAATCATAGTACTTATCCAAGGTCATTCCTGGATGCTCTTGCCCCTGATGGCCACCTCCCTATCATCTCTGGACCTCGGGGGGTTCCACAAGGTTTGTTTGGGTCTGTGTTATTCTTTAATGACCTTTTATGATTTGCTGCCTTGTTTGATGTTCAAATTGGATTTAAAGTTGAAGATGTAATTTTTCTTTACTTACAAAATACATTGAGGTTGAAGGTCAGTTTCCTGTTGTCTGTTGATGGCCTCACAGTCTTACTGTTCATAATGCAAGAATGCTGCCCAGTACATTATGCTTCAAAAACTGGAACTATTCATAAGTTCTGTGAGTTGATATCACTAAATTTAGTTAGATATAGTAATATATGCCTATAATCCTTGCTGCTGCTCGTGAGACTGAAACGAGATCATTAGAGCTCAGGGAAACATAGTGTGACCCTGCTTCAAAAATAAACTAATTAGTCAATCACAAAGATACATGAACCCTTTAAAAATAAGAAAACATTCTTTCTCTGCCACATACCTTCTCAGTAGTAATAAGCATCTCCCACTTTTGTTGTTGTAGACTATCCACTGAATTGAGCAAAGTCCCACTGATAGGAGCAGCATTTGCTGGACATGCTGTCTCCATCAGCTTATTGTTGGCAGTGTGTTGTATTAAAGAGAAACTCTAGTGTTTAGTTGGACCTCAGGAATAAAGGTTAATTGGACTTTTTCTGAAAGTTCATTGATCTTTGCTAGACTTTGCTATTTTAGCAGTAAATTCTACAGTAAAAAACATACATAAACATATAGTTTATAGACTTTCCCAAAGCAACCCCTGTGTCATGTGTGGGTCTTATTGGGCTTCATGGGGTCCTATAGGTTTCCTGGCTCTTGTGGGACTTACTAGGACCTGTGAGTTCTGTGTGTTTATCATAAGGCCTAATGGAGGCCCTTAGGTCACATGAGGAGTTTGGGAGTTTATAGTGACTTTGTGAACTGGTTCCAGGTAGGGCTTGGCCTGTATTAGGATCTAAACAAACTCTAGCCTAAAGCAAATTGTAAGTAGTGGCTTTTGTGGCTTTAGACTGAGAATATGTCAGCTTGGTTGTTAAAGTCCTCAAGACATGCTCTACAAACCAGGAATGGAGGTCAACCCACACATACCACAAGTGTCCTTATTCAAGGACTTTTACTTTTTAGAAAAAATTTATAATTATGTATATGTTTCTGAATGCAGAAACATTGAACACATCTGGGTGTTAGAAGATAACTTTGTGGAGTCTTGTTTTTTTCTGCCTTCTTTATGTGGGTTCCAGGAATTAAACTTAATGCCATCAGGCTTGGTGACAAGTACCTTTACACCCTGAGCCATCTCACCAGTCACCCTTTGCTTTTTTATCTACATGCTTGCCAAAGTAAACAACAACAACAAACTCAAACAAAAAATCCTAATGGAGCACAAATGCAAGAATTATAATCAGTGGGCATCTGCTATGGTCCCAATGTTGCTTTCATTTCTCCCAGATTTTTAGATTGAAGTTCTAATCATAGGTCACTGCATGAGAAGTGATCTTTGTAGGGAGGCCCTGTCCTCAAAGACAGAATAAGTGGATTATCAAAAATCCTGAGAGCTCTTCCATCCTTTCTGCCCCAGAGGACTTGGCATTAGGCCTGAACAAGCCACACAGTCTCCTGTGCTGCAGATGTCAGTCCTGAGGAGTAAACTTAGGTTGCTCATAAGCCTTTTGTTGTGGGTGCTCTGTGACAGCAATCTGGGACAGGGCCCCCATGCCCACTTGCGGGACACAGTTTTCTATTGATAATATCTTTCATACTTCTTTT